GGGACTCGATCCCGGGACTCCAGGATCATGACCTGAGCCGAAGGCAGTCGCTTAACCAACTGAGCCACCCAGGCGCCCATCAATAAATGATTTTAAACATCAGTTTGCCTAGCGCACCATTTGGTCTATTCGCATGCTACTTTCCATCAAGTTGGGGCCAGCAGTCAGGAGTGTGGGAGTCTTCTATACAAACTTTTAGGTGCCAACAGTCATAAGCGTTGAGGCTGTCAAGAAGGGCACCCTCACTCCTCCCTGAGCCTCCTAAATGTCAGTGCTGATTTTGCCATGGAGGTATGTTGCTGTGGCTTGGGTTCTGTTCATTTTTTCTGACCTTTTCCCTTCTCTGGATTAAGACCCAAGCGCCATTCGTTCTGGTTTTGGTTGTTCCTTTTTGTTCTTGAGGAAGTCCCAGCTTTTGCTCTGGAACTCTGAATTAATTCTACAGGATAGCAGGCGTTGTTGCCTTTTTTATCACAGAGAGACTGGTTGGCAGAAAAAGAAACACCCCAAACAGTTTCTATAGCTCTGTAAGCAGGAGGGCAGGGCAGGGTGGAGTACAAGTACGATGTTTGTCTATCTAGTATCTGGGTGTGTGTATGTCTTTATGTGGAACTGTAGGCTTGATTTCTAAATGGTGGATAGTATGGGGCATGAAAGAGGGAAAGCACATTTTTGGATGAGTCTTAGATAATTTGGACATAGAAACACTTTAAAAAATCTACAAGATCTGTTGTTGTTTTTTTTTTTTTAAGTCATCTTGGCTAGTATAAAAAACAAACCAGTTGTTTGCCCAGAAAATCACGCTTGCAAACTGCATAAAAATCACTTCTTTAATATATACTGAGACATCAAATTTAAAAAACTTATACTTGGGCTGCAATTGACTGGGATTCAGGCCATTTAGTAAGTTTTAGTGTTAGCAATAAGATAGAAAGCAAATTTGCTCCAATTATGTAAGGATTTTCACATACATATCAGCTAAGCCAACATATAGGAGGCCGATTAATTCTTAAAATTCAGAGTCAACACCGACATACAAAATGGGTGTTTTTGACAGCTTTCTACTAGATAATGTACTTCCTTAAAAACCCAGAATATATGAAACTTAAAAAATAAACATGTCACATTTATAAATACTAAATCTAAATATGGACAAAAATGCACTGCTATTTTTAAAAATGTATCCAAAGCAACCTACTATCTGGGGGTGGAAGGCGTTGACATACCTTGACTATCTCAAAAAGATTTAAGTTTCCCCACCCTCTGGCACTTCTAGTTTTTCAGAAGGGTTATTTATGCATTTAGGGGTAAGAGAATGACAACATTCCAAATTGTACTTCTCATTCCACTTTTGGCATTTCAGAATTAGGCTAGGGAAGAAAAACATGTCAAAATACTATCAGAAAATAATTTTCTGACCAAGAAAGCAGATCATCTTTTGTACATTTACTAAAGAGAGCTGTTTTTGCTATTATTATTTACAAAGGTTCTAAAACCAAGATATAAAAACAAATATTTTATTGAATTCTACAATACTAAGCAATATAAGCTTTACTACAAATGTCAAATCAATCTTTCCATTGAAGATAAAAGGTATTACTGGACTATTTGGATCCTTGGGCTAGGGGACGCCTGGGTGGCTCAGTCAGTTAAGCTCTGACTCTTGATTTCGGCGCAGGTCGTGATCTCAGGGTCGTGCAACTGAACCCAGGATTGGCTCCATGCTGAGTGTGGAGCCTGCTTAAGACTCTCCCTCTCCCGGGGCACCTGGGTGTCTCAGTCGTTAAGCGTCTGCCTTCGGCTCAGGTCATGATCCCAGGGTCCTGGGATCGAGCCCCACATCGGGCTCCTTGCTCGACGGGAAGCCTGCTTCTCCCTCTCCCCCTCTCCCTGCTTGTGTTCCTTCTCTCACTGTGTCTCTCTCTGTCAAATAAATAAATAAAATCTTTAAAAAAAAAAAAAAGATTCTCCCTCTCCCTCTGCCCCCATCCCCTGCTCTGTCTTTCTCTCTCTCAGGAAAAAAAAAAAAGTGTTTGGGCTAAATTGGGTGCCTGCCCGCATTCATATATTGAAGTCTTGATCCCCAGGCACCTCAGAATGTAATACATTTGGAGACACGGTCTTTAAAAAGGGAATTAAGTTAAAATGCAGTTATGGGGGAGGGGGCTAATCTAATATGGCTGGCATCCTTGTAAGAGGGGGAAACTTGGACACAAACATGTGACAGGGAAAGACCATGTGAAGACACAGGGGAAAGATGGTCATCTACGAGCCAAAGAGAGAGGCCTCAGAAGAACCAATCCTGCTGACATGCTGATTTCCAATTTCTAGCCTCCAGGATTGTGAGAAAATAAATTTCTGTTGTTTAAGCCACCTGGTCTGTGGTACCCTGTTATGGCAGCCCTAGCAAACTAATACAACATGTTAACCATTTATTACTTTAAAGACTCTTAGAGCAACTAGGAGAGTTCTGTAACATTTCTCAGAATGCCTTGCTTTGTCTTATTGCTATCAGTTTGTTTTTTCGAGCCACACAATATAGTATTATTTAAAACAGAATGGTTTCAAAACAGTTTTGGAGATTATAAATTTCAGGATCCTGAAATGTAATACGAATAATGCACTGAGAAAGAAATTGCAACAGTGCTAAGGGATCGAGATGCTTGTATATCCAATAGTCAATATAGACTTTGAAGTAGGCCTCAAGAAACCAGTTCTGTAATGAATGCCAGATTTTCTGGATTTATGCTTAGTACAGAAATGAATAATGATATAATTGAGCCTATCAATGTTAATCACCACCACCTCAGAGTTTTATAGCAGAGTTTTCCAAGAAGAATTCAAGCAGGAATAGTAGTAACAAAAAAGATAAACATTTATTGAGCTAAATAAAAACAAAACAAAAAAGATAAACATTAATGTGTTCCAGACAGTGTTCCAAGTACTTGCCATGAATTAATTCAATCCCCACAACAACTTTAGATGACAGATGTTATAACCACCATCATATCCCCATCTTACAGACTGGAAAAGTGAGGCACAGAGGCTAAATAACTTGCTCAAAGTCTCCGATCTAGTATGCGGCAGAAATGGAATTTGAACCTACGTAATTTTTTTAAAAGATTTTATTTATTTATTTGTCAAAGAGAGAGAGAGCACAAGCAGGGGGAGCGGCAGGCAGAGGGAGAAGCAGGCTCCCCGCTGAGCAGGGAGCCTGATGCGGGACTCCATCCCAGGACCCAAGGATCATGACCTGAGCCGAAGGCAGCCACTTAACTGACTGAGTCACCCAGGCGTCCCAGGGACCTAAGTAATTTGATTCCAGCGGCTTCCTTAACAACTCCTACTACCTGGTAACTACTATTCACATCTGATCTTCTCATTTTACCAGCTTTAGGAGTTGCGTGGTAGAAAAACCTCAGCTAAAACGTGATCCACAAATCTGGAAGGGACCTCAG